TAACCTTTGAAAAACAAATTGAATTTTGTTCATTTTTATGTTGAAATATATGCATAGCTTCTTGTTTCATTACATATCAGGAACACCACAAGTCTTATAAGAACACAATTGTGTTAGAGCTCACTTTATCCTAAGTAGGCCGAACTCTATTTCAGGTTTCTGAAGAATATAAACTCGTCTCTGACACACTTTACCTCACCGTGAATCTCATCGATCGATTTCTCTCTCAAAGTTGCATTGAAAGGAATAGATTACAACTCCTTGGCGTCAGTTGCATGTTAATCGCCTCGTAAGTTCTAAATCTCGTGGACTAATTTCATGATATTAAACATGAAAGTGCTTTCACATGAAATATTTTGACTAGCAAGATTTATGCTGAATAAATAGTTTTGAACTCAGTTACTGCTGGTTTGACTACTAGCCCAAACGGTAAAGAAAAGTGCTTATAATGTGAGATCCCATATCGGTTGGAAAGGTGAGCGAAACATTCTTTATAAGGGTGTGGAAACCTCTCCCTAGCTTACGCGTTTTAAAAACCTTGAGGGAAAACCCAAAGAGGACAATATCTGCTAGCAGTGGGCTTGGGCCGTTACATATGAACTCCTAGTATTAAATGATGGTGGAAAAAACTTTAAACTCTCAAGACTTGAAACAAAGTTTTATGTGGTGAAGGCATGTACCTCTACATGATCTTTTAACACTGGAATCTAATGTTCGATATTAGCAAATCAAATGTTTTGAAGTATTAAAGCCATGCTTTGATTGCTAGTCAATTTTTAATTGTATGTTCTGTTTGCTATTTTTTCAATATTTTGGGATCTCTCTGGAACATTGTGATTTCATCTTCACACGTATTTGGCTCCAACTTTCTTTCTATCTGCTTGTCCTCTTGCAACTATCCCCCTATTTACTTATCTTTTAATGCAAATTTCTGTTCAAATTTTTCTCTGATTAAATTATTGAAATGATAAAACCATACATCTATGAATTAGTGTGCAACCCGTGATGTGTTTGCTTTCTGGTACTTGAAGTAAATATGAAGAAGTATGTGCACCATTTGTGGAAGAGTTTTGCTGCATCACGGACAACACCTATACGAGAGGAGAGGTAGGCTCCTGGTCAATTGGCTTCCCTATTTGACATTGATAGCTCACCTGCTTTCCTTTTATAATATGCCAAATTTGTGACACTACTCTTCATATACTTTATATATATCATTAGTGGTTTCCTTGTACGCTAAATCTTGTCTTGTCCTCCTCATGCTTAGGCCAATTAGACCTGGATACACACGGACACGATTCTTTAGAAAAAGGTTATGGATATGCAATCTTGTTGTCCCATATAGCATGTGACCCCAAAGAGCCCTAAAAGACATGATGCCAAACTTGGAAAAATAGTTAGAGAAATAACATACTTTTCCAAATAGCTTAAGATCCAAAAGGTTTATCGATTCCAGGGGATGGAGATCCATAATAGATATATCAAAATTAGTGTTCGTCAAATAACATCAAAAGTGGAAAACTCATTGGATTGTTGTGAGTGGAACAAACAGGGCGTGCTTTGGAAGAAGCGATTTGTTTCCGAGCTGTATTATTGGGAATAACAAAAGAATCTCTAAATACTCAAACTTTCATATCGGAAGCAAGTTTTCAAGAAACTGCTCGAGTTTTAGCAAAAGCCGCCCTCTGTTAATCCAAAAAATAAATAATAAATAACCACAATTCCTTGTTTCTATCCAATATTTGATGATCCTTTCGAGGCATGCCCAATGCATATGTGGCATGTAGTTACCTTGTTACATTTTTGTCTCATTTGTGTTCTTGTATTTTCTCTCTCATGTTCTTTGTGTTCATGTAGATCAAGCGTGTTGACACTTACTCGATATAATTATATCATGTGACAGGTAATAAAAATGGAGGGTGAAGTACTGAACTTGCTCAACTTTCAGCTCTCTGTTCCCACTACAAAAACATTTCTCAGGTATCTTGCTACCACCATAAGCTCTCTCTCTCTCTCCGTCAACATTCCATATAATACTGTCGTTCTAATACACACATCTTTGCAGGAGATTTGTGCAGGTAGCACCGGCTTCTTGCAAGGTATTTGGGTCGAGAAATATGATAAAACTTAGTTCTGATTTTGAAATTCTTACCATTTTTGAAAAACGAGAAATATGATGTGAGAATCTCACATTGGTTGGAGAGGAGAACTAAACACTCTTTATAAGTTGTGCAGACACATTTTAAAAACCTTGAGGGAAAGCACGAAAGGAAAAACCCAAAGAGGACAATATCTGCTAGTGGTGGGCTTGGGCCGTTACAAATGGTATTAGAGCCAGACACCGGGCAATGTGCCAGCGAGGAGGTTGTTCCCTGAAGAGGGATAGACATGAGGCGGTGTGCCAGTAAAGACGCTGGGCCCCAAAGGGGGTGGATTTTGTGGGGTCCCACATCGATTAGAAGAAAGGAATGAGTGTCAGCGAGGACGTTGGGCCCAAAGAGGGGTAGATTGTGAGAATCCCACATTGGTTGGGAAGGAGAACGAAACACCCTATAAGTGTGTGGAAACCATTACCTATCAGATGCGTTTTAAAAACCTTGAGAGGAAGTCCGAAAGAGACTTCGAGGCCCAGATGGTGAGAATCCCACATTGGTTGGGGAAGAGAATGAAACACCTTTTATAACAGTAGAAACCTTTTTCTAGAAGACGCGTTTTAAAAACCTTGAGAGGAATCTCGAAAGGGAAAGCCCAAAGATGACAATATCTGCTAGCAGTGGACTTAGGCCGTTACATACGAACATTATCCAATGACCGTTAAGTTGTTTTGAATCTTGATCTTATCTGTTCCAGGCTAACTCAGTCCAAAACTGACTCTTTTATCAGGAACCTCGCAACGAGTTCGAGCATTTGACGAATTATCTAGCAGAATTGACTCTAGGCGAGTACAGCTTTCTGAGGTTTCTGCCATCAGCAGTGGCTGCATCTGTGGTGTTCTTAGCTAAATGGATTCTGAATCAACCAAATCACCCATGGGTCCGTTTTCCTTTACTGTTCTCTTTTGTCTCTTATTTTCTCTTTCCCCTTCTTTGGGGTCCCAATGTTACACACAATGTTCAATAATTCATTCAATTATACTATGGAAGTGTAACGTTTTTCATGAAATTTCTTCAACCTGCAGAATCCAAGTCTAGAACAGTATACAAATTACAGTGTCTCCCAGCTAAAAGCTCCAGTACTTGCCTTAGAACATCTAAGATTGAACTCGTCAACTTGCCCTTTTAACGCCATCTTTCAGAAGTACAGACAACACAAGGTTAGATCTCCCATCTTTTCCCAATTAAGCTTATAAATACCATTTTTATTTTATAAATGTTTTTCAAATCCAAGCCAAATTTTGAAAATTTTTAAAAGAAACTATTTGAATTCTTAGCAGATTCTATTTTAATGTTTATAAGCGGGAAATAATAATCAAAAGAAATGATGGATTTAAAGAAACATTATTATAGAAATGATTATTGGAAAAGGAACCCAAAAATGAAAAAGTAAGAGCTTTGATTATTGTTGGATCTACATCTATTTCATTGTTTATAACCAACATCTTTTAAGTATGATTAAAAATAGGATGCCTAGAAACTAGTGCTACTGTCTAGAACTTCCCTTCTCAGTTCCCACCATCATCGGGATTGAGGCCAAAAAAAAAAAAAAAACATAAAGAAGGCAGATTTGTCGGACATTTGAAAAAATATGTATAAGACATCCTTAAAATATTTTTAAATTTTGTACCATGATAAAATATGTTTAAATTTTTAAAAGGTTTAATAATACTAAACTAAATCTAAAATATATTTAGGTTTTTTTTTTATTTATAAAAAGTTGTTGTAAATTATTTCAAAAATAATTTTTCAATTTAGGGGCGAAATTATATCTGTACTCTGTAGATCATTTCATTCTTTAATAATGTTCATATATTAGCGGTAAGGATATTCTTTAACTTAAAATTTTTAAAAAAATTTGGAGGAGAAAATGTGGGGAAGAAATGGATTTGAAATTGAATTGCAATCCATATAAATTTATACCCTTACCCAAGAAAAAGAAATGGCAATTGAGAGCAGACCAGACCATACTTTAATTATCACGTGGGGGCTTGTCTTACAAATCTTGTTTGTTGTGACAGTTTGGAAGCGTGGCGACTTTAACCCCCACAATACCAGTTCTCTCAGCTTTCCAAAACCAGACAGGTACCTAAATCCAGGGGCATTTCAGACATTTCCCAAACTAGACACACCTTCAAACCAACCGTGATGAAGAAAAAAAAAGAAAAGATAAGAACAGGTAAATTAAATAATTGTGTCTTTTTTGTTTGGCTTATGTGGGTATTATCAGGTAGTGGTGGTTTGTAATTAAAGGAAATGGGTAATTTATGACGGGAAACTTAGGCTTAAATTGTTTGTATGTTTGTTTGGGGGGACACAACACAGTAAACTGAGTGATGGACAACCAAACATCATATGATTAATTATTATTATTACTAAAAGACAATGAATTTACTCCCTCCATGAATGCCTTGCCTATTTATTGACTTTCCTCTCCCTTTTTTGGCCTTTTACTTTTGCCGTGACTTCCACTAATTCATCAATACCATCCTCACTTTATGCTTCACATTTTTGTGTTCTTGATTCTAGCCTTTAAATATCCATCATTTTCATCCATGTGGGCAAGTTTTCTCCATTTATATCTATATTCATTTCAAATAATTTTTAAAAAGCGAGGAAAGTTTGGCTCCATTCTCCCGATTAAATGAACTTAGAACAATAGTTTTAAGTCAAAATATTAAACATACAGCGATAATATTTATTTCCTACAAATGTTGAAAGAAATAGGGGTCGATGATAAATGTCATGAATGAACATTTATTAGAACGAAAAGTAGAAGGAAGAATTAAAGTAAGGGTTGGAAATGTTCGGGAATCACTTCCTAACACGATCTAAGACGACGAGAGGGAAGAAAGAAAGGACTGCAAGAACTTTGCAATAAACGTGCAGAGTAGGAGTTAAGATATCCAACATCATCACAAAAATTACAGGACCCAAAATAAGATGGTTAGAAAGGTGGGGTGAGACCAAAATTACATAATTCCCATTCTAATCTACAATAAGTAAACATGTTCCTCCTCCCTCTGGTGTTGTTTTTCCCATCCCCATTGCAAAAGACAGCCAAAATGGAAACAGAAGCTAAGAAAACACACATGGGGGTGGTGGATTGGTATTTTCATGTTTTTATCAATCGAACAGACTCATTAGCAGGCTATTGAAGATGCTAAAGGAGTTACCAGCACGGCAGTTTTCCCAGCCATTGGTTGGACGTTGCTCGCTGCGTTCTCGAGTTGCTCCCATACCTGCTTTCGTTTGTTCGCTGCTGATATTTCCTTTGCTTCTTGCTCCTTGAAGTGTGCGTGGCAGGATACGAAGAGGTCGTCGTCCATCTCCATGAATATCTTTCTAACGTTGTGGGTTAGGTTCACTACTGCTTGGTTCCAATGGCTCTGTGCATTCCTCTCTAAGGCGGGTAGTACGATGGGCAATATCACGTGTCGGTTGTGCGCGATCAAGTTCACGATGTGGTCGTTGTTCCACAAGAAAAGGGATCTTTCAGCTACCTGAAAAGGACAGCAAGTTGATGATCTAACATTATCAGAAACAATGGTGTTGAAAGAAGACTAAACTTTAAGGTGAAAGATGAACCCACTGAATGAGACAACTAAACCAAACCAAAATGTTTATGTCAAGCAATGAGTTATATTGCTTATCTCTGCTTTGGCCCATTACGAATCGCTATCAGCCTCCCAGTTTTAAAACACGTCTGCTAGGAATAGGTTTCCACACCCTTATAAGGAATGCTTCGTTTCCCATCTCCAACCAAGATGGGATCACAATCCACCCCCTTGAGGGCCAGCGTCATCGCTGGCACACCGCTCGGTGTCTGGCTTTGATACCACTGTAACAGCCCAAACCCACCGCTAGCAAATATTATCTGCTTTGGCTCGTTACGTATCACCATCAACCTCACGTATTTAAAACGTGTCTGCTAGGGAAATGTTTCCACACCCTTATAAATAATGTTTCGTTATAATGCCAGTGAAAAGATTCATCCATGTTGAAAAACTGAGAATATAAGCGTGAACTTTCGCAACATATCCTGGATAATAGACATGGTTAGGGAGATTACTACCTGAAAGTGGCAACTGTTGATGCAGCATCCTACTCGCCAGAACAAAGGAACCATAACTTTCTGAAATTCCACCATATTAACAGCTTCCAAAATCTCCTCTAACTCACCCAGAAACATCACCTCTTTCTGACTGTTCGTTATAGGCCAGTATTTCAACAGTCCTTTAACCACGACGCTCGCTAGCTTCGGTTCCTTCTCGACAAACTGCGTAATGCAGTACGAAAGTTGTTGAAAGTAGGCACCTACAGATTTCGGTTTATGGAGAGGAATCAAAACCCTCCATAAGAAGATCTTGTGTTCCTCTTTAAGAGGTAAAGCAAACCCGCTGATTATACTACCGAATATCTCCAGCAACTCAGCAATGCCATTGTGTCGTTCGGTCTCGGATATGAACCGATAAATTATATTGTTGATAGACTTCCGAATGAACGGCCGATGAACCATGAACTTCCCATATACCCTATGCAGAATCGTTTTCAAACATTCCCTTTCTCTAGGATCCTCCGAATCAAACAACTCCAAAAGTTTCAAGATAAACGAATGGTCCATATACTTCTTAGCAACCTTAGCATCAACACATGAAGAATGTATAAACTTAAGCAGCAAATCATAGACAAGCTGCAAATGAGGCCAAGCAGGATCAAACGTGGGCTCATCGTCATCATTTTCACCACCACCACCACCAACAATCATATTAGCCCGATAATTCGGTGGAAAAACTCTAAACAAATTAACAGCACACATTTTACATAACGCGTGAATCGCAGGCTCGTTGAATTTCAAAGTCCCAGCTCCAACAAAATCCACTAATTCAATCAACGTTTGTCTTTTAACACCTTTTTCAATGGAATTCTTACTGGGATCCGTAAAATCAAAGGTAACACAACAAAGGCTCAGTTTACTCACAAAGAGATTCGTTTTCTCAGACGAAGGCACATCTTTGAAAGGCACCAACGGCTCGATTCCAGCCACGAGACTCGCAGGGAACACCGCGGAAGAAGTTTTCTTAGTAGCATTGGGCCGGCCAGAGGCAGAAGCTCCACCGTTCGATCTAGAGAACCCAGTGCCAGAAGCGGATGTAGAACTACTTCTCGGACTTGAACGTTGCGACGAAGACCGAGGCGTCCTCGGTGTATCGGACGAGTCTGACGATTTCCGAGGAAGCTTACTGAGGATCTGCTTCAGCATTGTGAAAAATCGATTCGAGAGAAAATGTGGAAAGATTAGAGCCAGAAGTGAAATTTAATCATCAGCCATGATTTTAAGCGAATCAAAAGCAAATTCAGGACGAACAACGTAGAGATTGCAGAGAACATTGACAAAATGTCAGATCCACACGAATCCTGTCAAGCCAAGTTCTCCCAAGGAAGAACATGGGATGATGATAAGTTGAAATCAACGTTCGGGAAGGCAACAAACACACAACAGAGACATTACAGAGCAGAAAACAAAAGCATGAACAGAAGAACTAGAAGAAGAAGAAGATTTAGGGTTTGATGAACGCAGGAAAAGCAAATCAAAGAGCGATGATTGAAGAATCAGGAACAGTTGCAAGAGTTGGATGGAGAGAGAGAGAGAGAGAGAGAGAGAATTGAGGGAGAATAACAATGAAGAGAGGAAGGTCTATAATGGCGGAGAAGGAAGAAGAAAAGAAGGGAGCTCCTCTGGTTTTTAGACACACAAAATTAGCTAATCTCTTCTATCTCCATCGAAATAATGGAGCATTCACCTCTCTCTGCTTTTCATTTTTCTCCCTTCTTTATTTTATTTATTTATTTATTTATTTCTTGCTTTATGGGAATGGGAGTCATAAATTGCAAAATAACCATTTTTTTATTAAAAAACATTAATTTTACATATTATTATTATTATTTTGTAATCCATTAGTCTACAAATTTTCATTACATTTTTTAGCCTTAATTTAATTAAAATATTATATTATTAGTTATAAGATTAAAATATGTTTTTTTTTTTTTATAAATTTACTATGAATTTATGAAAAAAAATAAAAATAAAATACTTTTCTAGTTATTTTTTAATATTTATAATTAAATTGGATATTATGAAAATTAGTAGACCTAAAAGTAAATACGTCAAAATAGATATTTAAAAAAAAAAATAATCTACTCTACCATAACTCAAATGAGTTTAAACTTTTAATTTTTTATATACATATTTTAAATTTGTTTATTAATTTAAAATAAATTACGAAAATTAGAATTTAAATGTTTTAAGGTTTGATAAATAAAAATTAAACTTAATTATGACGATTTCATCACAAAACTGAGATTTTAAGTGAAATTCTTATATTCAAATTTATTGCAATTGGTACATTATTTTCAAGTTTTTTTTTAATCCACGGTCTAAGACGACACCGTTTTAATTATGGGCCTAATTTTATCGTAAAGGGCCCAAACTTCGGCCTTATATCAAGCCCACATACGAAGGCCATGCTAATTGGGCCGGTTAGTAAATGGGTCTAACTAAACCCATTTGACTTAACTAGCCTAAAAGTGTGTATATATATTATATATATATATATTTTTATTAATAACTAAAATTTTGGGCTGATTGGACCGGTGACTCGACCAAACCCGAGTAAAATTAGGTTGGACTTTGAATTTTTTTTAATTATTTAAAAAAATATTACTTCACAACTATACATAGGCATTAAAATATATGAATAATGTACTATTTTATTTTATTTAAGATTTTTACCGATAAGCTTTCAACTAAACATGTATTTAAATACAACAAATATGAAAATTAAAAACTTTATAATAACTTTTTAAACCATTACTTTTAGAATTATTGGTTTAATTTTGAAAGGTTTATGTAAATATTAATTTAAAAATATAGGTTCATCTAAGACATTTTATTAATTAAGAAATTAGAAACTTAATTAATAAAAAAAATTAAAGTTTAATATAATTTTAAAAATTAAATTTATTTATTATGATTTGATACAACTTTATAAATAATTTTTATAATATAAAGGTTTTTTATCTTTTAAAATTTTACGAATCAATTTATAATTTTACTATTTTTTTTTTTTTCTCTCATTCTGAAATAAATAAATAAATAAATAATGATTTATAAATTAAAAAAGAAAAAGAAGTAAAAGATTCTCAGGCGAAGGTAAGCACAAGCAATGGAGGTCTAAAGCTGACTCTATCCTTCCCTCCCCAATAAAGCAATTTCACCGATTCACTTCAATTCTTCAAACGCCGTCGTTTCTGTACTTCTCGGAATCCTCTCTACCCTCCGTTCCGCTCGCTTCCGTCGGCGCTGACTCAGTCCGGTGAGGTCTCCGTCTCAGGTCGGAGTTAGCCTTTTCTTTTCCTTTTTGTTCAAATTCACGAAATGCTTTGTGTTTTTGTATCTTTGAATGCAGAGGTTGGTTGGAAATGGCTTCTTGTCTTCACCGTCTAGGTCTAGGGTTTGAATTGATGATTATTTTGGGCGGTCGGTGATCTTCGGTGGGTCATTTTAGTTTGTAAGAAGTCAGTCAACGTTGTGGAGTTAGGGATTTTGATCTGTGTAGTTTGGGATAATCAATTTGTAGTTTGGTTCTACGTGGATTTTGCTTTTGTATTTTGTTCGAAACAATGGTTGGAGTTGTGCACTTAGTCTTTGTTTATTTGGTTCATTTGATTCTGAGAAACTGATGGAAATTTTGAGAGTTCAGTGTTCGTTTGTTTAACCATATTTCTTTCTTCTGATATTTTATGTTAGACCTTTAGTCTGTTATTATTATTTATTGTTAAACAAAAGCTGTAGAGATCTTTCATCGACGACGCAAGTAATGCAACTATTTAGAAATGTCATATTGCTTGAAAGAAAGGTCTCCTTCATCTCTGTTTTTTTATTTCTTTTCTTCGTTTATTCTTCTGCTTTTGCTTTCTTTGTGCCGTGGTGGTCGTGGCGTGGCTTGGAGGAGCTTATATCTGTGAAAAACCATAGCTATCCGTGCTTGATATCCTCGGGTGAAACTGTTATTTACTTATCACATGTAAATCTTTATTTGATTTTCCATTTGTTGTTGGCCTCTTAACCTTAATTTGGAAGTTTAGATACTAGTTGTGTATGGTGTGTCTGAGGAATTTAGTTACTAGTTGATTGAATTCAAGATCTTTCATCAGTATGATAGTTCATATTTGTTCGAGAACTATGGCTAAACTCCTGGTGGTTATTTACTTCTTTAATATAATTATTCGTATTTTTTCAGATCGGAAGCTTTGTGAATTGACAGAATTGTATCAAGGGGCTGCAGCAACATCAGTTTAAGTTATCTGTAAGTGATATACTTACCTATGAGATATTTCTTTTTTTGGTCTAATTTTACATGTCTCTACTGCATGTGTTCAACAATGGTTAGTGAAATGTTTTGTTCATTAGTCTCTGAAATTTTACTTTTCTATTTGAATCAGTTAAAGAATGCTATATTGTTATATTTGATCTAATTAGCCAGATTGAAGCTTTTTTTTAATAAAAAAAAAATTAAAAAATTAAAAAAAAAATACGGGAGATTGTAGTAAGTTATAAACTATAAAATGTCTTGTTCCATTTCTTTGTTGTTTTGCCCTTGGAAGGTCAAATAATGTTTGAGCCAAATTAAGCAACCTTATCATTTTTGGAAAAAAATGTCATGCTTGAGAAAAAGGTCAACGTTTTGTGGTGGTTGCCAAATTGGGTTTCTGATTATGCATTGACCGATATATCAAATTGGTGTTAAATCTTGAGCAGTTGATAATCAGAAGTGACCTGTAGTGGGCCAAACACGGCAGCCTTGTTCTAGAGTTCTATGCTTTCGTTGTCCTTTATTGTGTTATTGGACTTAGATGGATGTTCCCTCGGTGGAACTAAATTGTGAAAGCGAAGAAGACTCTTACCCTTTATTAATGGCCCAGCCAGAAAATATCAGCAGCAGTGAGCATATCATTAACATAACTGGTACTGGTGATTCTGCTCCGTCTAGTTTGCCCCATGGTAGGAATTCAAATGGCTTAAATTCATCACAGCCTGAAGATAGACCTTCAAGTAGTACACGAGTTCCTTCGTCTCAACCTTCAATTTCTACTACGGGATCAAATTCTAGAAATTCTTCATTCATAAGAAGAGGAGATTCGCGACGTCGTAGAAGTCCATTAAATTCTGGCTTATGGATATCTATTGAATTACTACTCACTATGAGCCAGATTATTGCAGCTATTATAGTATTATCATTGTCAAAGAATGAAAAACCTCGTGCACCTTTGTTTGCATGGATTGTGGGATATGCATCTGGGTGTGGTGCCACACTTCCTCTTCTCTATTGGCGTTATCGACACCGTAATCAGGCTTCAGAACAAGATTCTCTTCAACCTAGTCACAATTCTAATCGCATTAATGTTCCTGCTGGGCCATTCTCTGTTTCAGTTTCTAGGGCATCAGAAGGCGAAGAACTTCATCATCCTGCCCCATCCACCAGAGGCAGTGTAGGGTCAGGATTACTGACAGCAAGGTATTGGTTTTTTGATGCTTGTATCAGTATAAAATTTAATAATTGGACTTGATTGGTAGATAAATTAATTTCTACTATCTTGTGGCATTACTTTTAGATGTATTGGTATCTGGTTTTTCAGTTCACAAGATTAGTTCATTGATTTATACTTGCTGGTAGCTATTTCTACTCTTATTGATTTTGAAATCATGAAAGTTGAGTTGGGAGGGATAATCTATTCGCACACCTTTTATCTTCTTTTTCATTCCCATACTTAAATTTTCGAACTATGCAAGAGATCCTAATTCCCTACATTTTTACATCTTATTGAAGCTGTTCAACTTACCTCATAAGGGCATGTCAATCTCAGTTGGCAGGTTGCCATTTTCACTGGGTCACAGATTCGTCATCACACGTTTATTTTATTCCATTCTCTTGGACTTAGTGACTATATGTGTGCCATATTGCCATGACCTTGACCTAGATTGATTAAATATCAAATGTCTATGATAATGATGGCCAAGGGTGTGGCAGTCTCTTGCTTGCCATAGCTGCTCAATTCCTTGTTTCTTTATCTTTTCACGAGGCATTTTTTCCCTTCTTTTTTCCAGAAGTTGAGCAATAATTGCCCTTACAGTTGGGACTTGTGGTAATTTTGACTGCAGGGTGAAAGTTTTGGTTGAATATTTTAAGATGGGCCTGGATTGCTTCTTTGCTATTTGGTTTGTAGTTGGTAACGTTTGGATCTTTGGAGGGCATTCATCAGCCTCTGAGGCTCCTAATTTGTACAGGTCCGTGTTCTTACACCATATGCATATGTAGACAATGCACACGATTGTTTCTAGAATGGATTTATTAATTTCTTCCTCTTTACTTGCAGGCTATGTATAGTGTTTCTTACCTTTAGCTGTATTGGTTATGCCATGCCCTTCATTCTATGTGTAACCATCTGCTGTTGCCTACCTTGTATAATTTCCATCCTTGGCTTTAGAGAGGACTTGACACAGACCCGAGGAGCCACAACAGAATCTATTAATGCATTGCCAACTTATAAGTTTAAGCAGAAGAAAAGTAGAAGTGGAGATGATAGAGAAAACAACTCCGGGGCCGGTGAAGGAGGAGGAGGGGTTGTGGCTGCTGGAACTGAAAAGGAGCGAGTGATTTCAGGAGAAGATGCTGTAAGTACCATACAGACAACCTGTTTTTGTTAGTAATTGTTTCTTTTCTCTCTTTTTCTCTATTTGTTATCTGTTATAAATTTTTTCCCCTCCCAAACGTATCTTTCTCGCCCTAACTGTTTTGCCTTACATTTCTTCCTCTAAATTTTTCCCCCCTAAGATGTCTAACGTTTTTTTTAAAAACAGAAAACAAAAAAGGTTACTCAGCATATTTTGCCTTTTTGTTTTTCAAAAACGTTACTAAAAAGAACGGACCTTAACGATTGGGTTGTATTCTGATCGTTTCTCTTGTCTGTCTGCAAGCCTTAATGTAATTTCAGCTTCTTTTATTCATAGAGTGTGTTTAGAATTATTTCTTGGACCAATGATTTTACGTGAAACACATTTGTTATAAGCACTTTTGACTAACTAACTACACACAAGTCTCATTCCTCATGTTTATTTACTCTATCTGCATGGCGTCTGCTGCATAACTAGTTGCTGATAAATCAGCAGTCAGTTGTTGTAGATTATGCAGAACTTACCTGGCTGAAAGGCCTCTGATATTTCTCTTGTGAAAAGGGTTTAATCTTCTACAAGTGAAATCTCACTTTATGCAACTCATGAAATGGATTACTAGTCGATATGGAAATTATATGACGAAAGTTCGTCGTCTTGAATTGTTTTCTTATAGATCACTTTCATCTATAAAAAGTTTTATTGACCACCTGCCTGTATATACTTTTCCATTTCATGATGGTTCCCTCGAGTGTTTTGATGAGAGCTTAGTTCTAATGCATTCATTATATGAAAATTAAGCTAATGCTAATTGTTTTAAAAATTATGCGCAGGTCTGTTGCATCTGTTTGGCGAAATATGCCAACAATGATGAACTGAGAGAGTTGCCATGTTCTCACTTTTTCCACAAGGAATGTGTAGATAAATGGTTGAAGATCAACGCCCTGTGCCCGCTTTGCAAAACCGAGGTCGGTGAGAGTATCATTGGCTCTCTTGAGGGAACAAATAGACAACAACAGGGTGATTAGAGAGGGCAGCAGCTTGACTCCAGTGACATGATTTACGTGCAAGTTCTCTGGATGGATGGGTTCTGCAAGAATCTGAAAGTTAAAACTGATACAAGTGTAGTATGTTCAAGCTCATCCTTTCTTCAGCTGTTTACAGGTTCGTTACTTCGACAGGCTCCTCTTGTAGTAAATCCGACCACTGTCAATATATAGGCAGTTATATGGTGCACGTCGGACATTCTGAATGAGTTATGATCGTTGTGAAATTGCTTGTTTCTGTAGGAACTGAAAATTGCAGATGTTGCAAGGTTTATACTTGTATAATCACACACTCCATGCTCTTGTATTGGCCCCTCTTCAATTTTGTGGCATAATTGCTATGATAATGAATAATTAGTAGAGCATACTGTGTGAGGATAGTATAATATATATATATATGATTGCATTTTGCAAGTTCATTCATTCCCTTTGAGTTCAACGATTATTTAGAATTTCTGGATAGATCGAGCTCGTGCGAGCTATGTTCACTTTGAAATGAGAAAAATCAACTAAAAACGCCTACCCATGGATGGTAATATCTGATCCCGATAGTATTTTTATTTTCAAATTCAATCTCGTATGTAATTCCCATCAATTTTGATTACCTTTTCAAGATGGAAGCTGCCACCATGGATACCTCTCAACCTTGTTGATTTAACTGGTCGTCCTCTCATGGCTGTCCGGTTAGGAGAAAATTTGCAGAGCCCTTATGCATTCGAGGACTAATCGACTTGGACGAACCGTTGCCATGCGCAGCTATAGGAATCAATCATTGACAGGTTCCGAGCATCGTTGGTTTAATTTGCAACCCATCAACCAGTGATCAACCATAAATGGCATTGTGCTGAGTTTGTTCAATACCTGGATTCACCAAATATTTGTCTCAATGAATAAATGTTAATTGGGCAACCATATAGAAAAGATTTATAGGAAAAATATGCTATCAAGTTTCATCAAAGAACGTCAAGATTATAATGGTTCTCAAGAGAAGTATATTCAGACTTCACCAACACAAAATATGCAAAAAGAAATGATGAGTGGTAAATGGTTTATAACAAATCGAAGCGGGACGAAGGACAATGACACGAGATGCACGACGCGGTGGAAAAATATGGATATGTATATTTCCAGACAAACCTGTTACACTAGACCCACATAAACACATCTGAGTTATTTATTTCTAACAGAGATACTATGAGAAAAAGACATCACAAATCCTAGCAGTAACTACAGTCGTCTGCAGCAACTCTCGAAGTTTTTTAAAGAAAAAGTTCCATAAAAAGGGAACAAATTCATATCTTTATCTCCAGTCTAAGACAACCAAAACTAACGTTCAATAAACGTAGCTTAATTCGAGCTCAGATATCATCTTTTCTACCCTCGTAGTCACTAATATCGACAACAGCAGAGTACATAGCTAACTTTGCCCAAGACTCGAAGAAGATGCTAAGATCCAAATTACAATTACCTCAACAAAATTAATGGCTTCTGAATTGAGACTTACAAAGAAGATGCAAGATGAGAGAAACAGGGCCTAAAATTTTATCTGATCTTAAGCAATGCATTATGGAGATTCATGACACAAAAAAGAAATGTTAATGAAATCTCCTTACCAGGAAAAGCAGGGCAAGCTTCATGGAAAAGGTCCTTCGGCACTACTCGTCGCATTTCATGATGTTGGTGCACGGGATGAGAATGTGATCAATAGCTCATTCTTCACACATATAGCCATTCACAAGCCCTCGAATTCTATTTCGAACAAATTTTCCCATGCTATATAAACCATGATTCAGAACCAATGAAAGTTCCTTCTTTAGAACTCAAATAATTGAATTGTGCCATTACGTCGTCACCATTCCGTGACAAGTCATATCCCGATGCTTATTTTTATGCATAACGGTCTTCAACGATCTATTGCACATTTCCATAGATGGAGTAAGTCCATTCCCTAGAGTTCGATCCCTAGTAAAGAGAGCAGTAGAAATGTTACCTTCTTGACAAAGTCCACTAATCTTGGAACCATATATAAAAAGATCAGGATCCAATCTCTGCTTGTACATATCCTGAATAAGACATTCCACCAGATTGATATCACGCTTTCTTAAAAAGGAACGTAGAAGAATATTATAAGTTTTTCGGTCAAGCGATAACCCAGCTTTTTGTATACGCTCAAATATCTGGTATGCCTTACTAGTAAATCCATTTCTGCAAAGCTTGTCTAGGAAGATATTGAAAGTGACACTCGAGGGAACAGGGCCGTTACATATCATGTATTCCAATAATCTCCAACATTCTGAATATCGTCCCACTGTAGACAAATATCGAACCAAACAAGTCAAGCTCCTTACATCTGGCTCAACACCTTTACATTCCATGTATTGCAAAACCCTTTGAATTAGAACTAAATCCCCAAGTTTGCATGCAGCAGAGAGAACCGTATTGAATGAAACGACATCAGGGCCGCTCTCAGGCCACTCGAAGCATTCTAATAGCTTCAAAGCATGTTGAATTTCATTGTCTCTACAAAAGCCCCTTAAAACTGTATTATATGACACAGTAGTTGGAACAATACCTCCTTTTGTCATACTTTTCAACAGAGAAAAGGCTTCTCTTGATCTATTATTTCGACACAAGCAATGGAAGTATATATTGTACACAACAACGTCAACAGTACAGTTTCTCGTGAACACTTTACGTAATAACTCATAAGCAATTTTGGTCTTTCCTACCTTCATAATCCCTCCAGCCAAAGCAGCATATGTATACGGATCGGGAGAGAAACCTCTACGATGAATCAACTGTAAAAGCTCAAGAACATCGCATGCTCTATCATAAAGGCAAAGCGCACGGATAATTATATTATAAGTTACTAAGTCAGGATCACAACCCTCAATTTCCATGGATTTCAAGATTTCAAATGCTTCAACAATCCTCCCATCATCACAAAGAAACTTAATAATAACCGTGTAAGTAACGACGTTCGGCTTACATCCATCACTTCTCATTTGATCTAAGAAACTATAAAGATCAACCCACAAACATTCCCTTCCAAATCCGTAAAGCAAAGCAGTATATGAACATACATTATGAGCTATGCCATTCTTTTTCATCATATAAAACAACTGCAAAGCTAGAGAACTCTTGCCACACTTACACAATGCCCAAAGAACAGGATTAAACACGTATGCTTGAAAATTAAGATTTTTAGATATCAGTTTAGCACAAAACCTGTATGCCTCTTCCAACATCCTGGCTTTACAAAGCATACAAATAAACATAGCCACAGTGGGTTCAGTAGGCAAATGATCTAATCTCAACATGAACTTGAATATCCAAATAGAATCCACTAAATTACCTGATTTCATCGAACTTTTAAGCAATTTGGACAAGGATGTGAACGATGGATTCATCCCACTTTTGGTCATCTCTTCTGCAAAGAAATATGCATCTCTCAGGTAACCTAATGACAGAAATCCATTAAGAAGTATGTTGAAAGTTGTTCTGTTTGGTGATGGCCCGAAATTCTTCATTCCGATATAGACTTGAACCAATTGTTCTAACGAAACATTTCCAGAACTCAAATATCTATGAAACAACGCGTTGTAATCATATATAGAGGGCTTCCCGGCAACATTTTTCATGAAATTCAGAGTCTCTAAAGCTTCAGGAAGATCACCTGAAGCCGCATAATTCTGCATTCGTGACTGCAAATCGAGGTATTTCCAATTGTGGGTATTGCTGTCTTGGATGATATTTACACTGCTAAGAGCACAGGAAGTGGAATAATTCACCGAAAAGCGAAGTTTCCGGGTAAGTCGGTGAGGATAATTAATGGCGGGAATTGAAGCAAAACGCATGGCAGGTTAAGAATGGGGGTTGAGCTTTGAACTCCAATGGCGGCGAGAGGGGAGGAGGAACGGATGCAGGGGCGAAGCATTCGGGTTTTTAGGGGCGAAAGCCCTCTCCTTCATTAAAATTACTCAAAATTGAAGCTTATATAGTGGTTTTCACGGTTCGGTTTTAGAAAGGAATTGAAGGTGAAACGGAAACTGAACCGAACCGTGAAGATAGTGAAACCCAGGGTTTGAGGGTTTGGATGGCGGAAGGATTGCGGGCGGTGGTTCGGACAAGCGGAAAAGAAGAAGCGGCCGGCGAAAGAGAGGACGGTGAGGACGGTGCGACTGCGAAGAAGAAAAGAGAGAGACGGCGGGCGGCTGCGTGGCGGACGGTAGCAGTGAGGGCGGAGTAGGGAGGTGAGGCTAGAGAGAGATTTTTTGGGAGAAAAATTAACTTCGAGGCTATATTCTCAAGTTTAGTTGTCGTCTTTAAACCGAAAAAAAAAAAAAAAAAGTTTAAATAACTAAAAAAATTGATTTAAAAATTAAAAAACAAAATAATTATCAAATAATCAATTTCCACGGTAATTTTTAAATACATTTACCCTAATTTTTTTAAATCTTTCATTCAATTTCTACTAATTTACTTATTAATTTAAAAAATCTTGAAAATCTTAAAACTCCGTTTCCAATTCACAAACATATCTCTATCAGAAACAAAAAAAAATATATATATATTCAAAAAACAATTTTTTTTATAACAAAGTCAAATATATATTCTCGTAAGTTCAAATTTCAAACCCATTTAGTTAACGAGTAATGGGTCAATAATGCTTCTCTTCTCTATCTAATTCAACACCCACCAATCCTTCTCAATAAACCCAACTAATTTAAATCGACCATAGTTATGTCAAATGAGGATTTTAAGACCAAAATTAAAGACAATTCAATAATCAACGTGAGTTTTGTACGAATCAAATTTTATTCGTAGATCTGTACCTTATCTAAGTTCAAAATCTCTCTATAATCCATCTAAATTGTGCATCTCATTGCTCTCTTTTAAGTCCAAAAATCGATCAACGGTGAAAATGATGCTTCAAAACTTGGTCCATAGAACATAAGTGAAGAAGGTTTAAAACCATTAAGCTTTGAAGTAGAATTTAAAACCAAATTTATTTAGTCAATTGGACGTTAGAAACTTCATGAACATGGAGACTATAATGACTTGATAATTACCTCGATAACTAGAAGTCCTTTGTGGATGGAGAGAATCCCTTGCAAGAATCTAAAGGTTGCATTTCATTACCTTGTTTAGCTTCTACATTGGTCCTTTCTTCTACTTCCAACTTGATTATCCAAACACTACCCTCAGAAGCAGTAATACGATATATGGAGACAGAAACTGTTAAGTATAAATTAATGAGGAAAAAAGGGTTTACCGATTGCTATGGCAATCGTCACGATGTTATTGACTCCTCTTACAATTCACAAACTGACACATTATCAACATTATACTGTACCAGAATCCAGATCATCCGTCTGAAAAGTATAAAATGGGGGTGGCTAAAGGAAGTATATGAAAGAATACGAAGGGCTACTAATAATAGACAACAAAAAACATTTTTCTTTTCTCTTGAGTTTTTCCAATTACATCTCTTTTCTTCAACGACTATGCCACAAAAAATAGGAAGACCATAAGGAAGAATATTAGTACAAAGAAAATTTTGATCATCAACCACCTATTTGAAGATATGTTGTTTAGATACTTGAGCAAAGCTCCCTGTGCCCCCTCCACGTTTGCCAGAGAATCGTCCATATTCTCGTCAATCCTGCAACGACCAACACATATTAACTTTTGAACTGCAATCTAATTGGAGACTTATGAAATACGGAAAATGTAATTAGCCTGAAAATATATATCGTGGAAATACATGTCATTTGTGCTAGCCGGATAGTTTGGAGAAATATGATTGGTGTGATATTGTGGGGTATTAAATTAGAACCCTAAAGAAATTTTGAGGGTTAGTTTATGCTCATAGAAATTATTATTCTTTTGGCATACAAGTCTATAGGAGAGTTTCTTGCAACTCTATTAGCTATGAGGGATATTCCCTCTTCCTCTCCTCTTCCCACTTCTCCACATTCCAAATATTAAAAGAAAAAAAAAAAAAAGAACGACGACAGAGGACATCTAACGAAAAGAAAAGTTTGGGAAACGGTAAATGTAACTGACTAAATGTCGTGTTTACATAAGTGAATTTAGTCTAAGTCAGCCCAATAAGAGGTTATCTTAGCCAGTTACTAAGATGCACTAAACCAGCAAATTACCAAATCAGTCATCAAAATAAATAACAAGTTATCAAGACTCACCTGCTCTACTCCAGTTTTAACAATCACAGAAAAATGAACAATAAGTAGCAAGAATATCTAAAATATTCGTCTTATTTCACCAGATTGAAATATAGAAGTAACCATTTCCTTTTAATGATTCTGTTCCTCCACTTTGATTACTAAGCACAAGAAGTGTTGTAATATCTTAGCTAGGCTACTCTCTTTCATATATTTTATTGGATTTTCTTTTCTTCAAAAACTGACAATATAGATGGGAGATCTTGTTTGACTCCTCTTTTTAGGCTTAGGGATTCCTCATCCACAAAGCACATATGTTGTTCTTTGGTTTGATTCCATGTCAAAAACATCATAAGATGAAACCAACTTTAATGGAAATATGGCTGACTACATGATTGAATCTTATATTAGTGATAAAATAAATGGTAAAAAGACCCAATACATTTAGAAGCTTTGGCAGGTAAACTTATCCAGTTTTAATAAAGGCGATATTTAAACCCATTCAGTCTTGTGTAGCACATCAAACTCATACAGAGTCGAGATCAATTTGCATTTTATGGATACCAAAACCATACAGATAATTTCAATATATGACCCAAGTTTCATGCTCTGTTTGTAACATAAATGTAATCATTTAATCAGAAATTCTGATATAGGTGCATGAGGGTAGAACCTGATTGCAATCTCCCCTTGTTCAGAAACCAGAGTTGCCAGCTGGTTGAAGATATTGCTCAATTCATGAATAGTGGATTCTACATTTTGAAGAGCTTCAGCTCTGCTCTGCATGTAAGTATCTTGTAATGGAACCATCTGTTGCTGTTGCTGTTGCTGCTGTAACAATGGTTGACTCTCCCCATCTACCTGCTTCCTGTACAATTACAAGCAACATAATTTGTTATTTCACCACAAAATAAATGTTTAATTACGTTCGACAGGAAGTAGAAACAGCAAGACCAAAGAAAGGGATTTCAAGCAGAGAAGAAAAAATAGGACACAACTATGAAGTTGAGAACTTTGTTTAATATAGGAGCTACATGTGAACTTTCATTGGAAACACATGCAACACAAGAGAAGGCATCAACATAAAGGCAAAAAATATGAATATTCCTCCAATTGGCAATAATAACGAATTGAAGAAGCCTTGCCTGGCCAATAATAATTTCTAAGTCTATTACCGATCCAAAGAAAATGAATAAAATAAGGCAGTTCTGAAAAGGTTATTTTATAAAGTACAGCAATTTTCATAAATGCCAATGATAAAAGAAATCTGGGATTCAATGTTATTTCCCTGGTAATATAAGAGGCTTCATACACCAAATGGTTGAGTTTATCCTTTAAAAGATAAAGCTAACATTCAGTAAATTATGACGACTAGGACCGAGAGTTGAACATGTAGTGATAGGCTGCACCAACCATTTTACTTATCAACACACTATAGCCAAGGAAGTTTCAAGAGCTTCCCACGCCTACTTCACACAAGGCACAAGAGAAAGTCCAGAAAATCAAAACCAAAAAGATGCCCTCCCTACAAAGCGACTCACCTCTATAAGCCTCCACCTACAGGGCCCCTCGTATAACTAACAAAACCTGTGAGCCCCACCCAAACACACCCTCTCACATGGTTCCCCTTCACACACATAAGTTCATACACTAGTAATTTCAGCCCTATCATATAGTTCATGAGCCAATTCAGTGGTAGTTCATTTGTATACCTGCAGGTTCAGGAAGGTGCCTTTGCAAGCACCATAAACCACAAGATTATATTTTAAAGATATCCCTCTGTCATCTAAAACTAATCAGTTGAGAATATGCCTTGCATAAATTAGAAAGTTCAAAGTTCGTGAAATATATCACCCATAACAATTTTAAACAATTCTCACCCGGGAGATGTTTTGGAAAAAGATGTAGACGGCTTGGCCCACGGAGGAGGGGGTGCGCTTGAGGCACCAGCATTGGACCTGGAAGCTAAAGGGCGTTGGCGCATAAAAGGATTTGTAGATTCCTTTGAAGCAGTAGAAGAAAATAGTTGTCTTCTATTCTCATGAACCTTCAAATTCTTCATTAAACCAACATATAATGTAAGCATTTTAAAAAAAATGCTGGAATAGGTTATCAATGAGATAGAGAAAAGCCAATTCAAGAAAAAACAACGCAGTGTAACATTTGGGCTTACTTCTGTTCGCATAGTTAGAACTTCTTTAAACTCTTTAGTTGTGCTCAATAGGCGATTCTTAAGATCATCCACCACAGTGGTTGAATGACTAGTAGTATCGCTGGACATGTTTCCATTTTCATGTCTAGAGTTGCAGTGAAGCTGAAGATCTACAACTGCAGAGTTCAATGTTGTAATGTCCTGCTTAATAAGTGCAGTTAGCTCCTGAATTTCCATTGTTGGGTCATCAAAAACTGAAGTCCTCTTTGCCACTGGAAATCATGATGTGAACATCAAAATTCAATCAAACAAATTGGAAAGTTTCACTGTCATGCTCCATGCATTATCTTTAAGAAAAATTATTTTCATTGGCAACATTAGGCACTCTCTTCCTCCACATGCATTAAACTCAATTTCGTAACTGACAATAAAACCAACCCATGCAAAACAGAGAAATGTTTCCTCCTAGTTCTCCCTTGCATTCCGCAGGCCTAAATAAAATCAGCTGCCTAAATTTAAAGTCTCAAAAAGTTGCAATTTACAAAGGGATTGAATCACAGATGCAGTTTTTTCAGAATTGAAGAATATGTTTGGATAATTAAATGAACTCTCAAGGAAAATGTTCAATGCCTAATTGAATCGTTTGAACCATCCCACATGTTACCCACTCAAACATCTTACCAAGGCACAATGCATACCAAAATCTGCCAACTTCTTTCTAAACAAGGCCCTCAAATGAAGGAAATTTATCAATGAGTCAACATGACATGCTTAAATCATCATATATATATTGGAAATGGTGTCTGCAGTGAACTACATACTTCAAGACGGCACAGCTGCACTGCGCTGCAGATTACTTTCAATTCAACTACTTACATTTTGCCAACTTTGAGAGTTTCTGAGACGTCTGGTGTATGCCTAACCCAATCTTGGAAGCCCTCTTATTAAATTCTGACTGCAGAGCCACAGCAGAACGCTGCTC